GCCCCAGTCGGGACACAACACTATCCAAGCCGACCGCGAAAGAAAAAAAAACGTACTGCCTCGCCCTGCCGCTGCGTATGTAAGGCAATCCAAGAGCAAAAAAGCTGAAAGCGATGTCAATTCCCCGAATTTGTGTTCAAAACGACCAATATCATAAAATAAGATCAAACAGCTCTGAAACTACCCAGTAAAAAAAGAGAGGTTCAGCCAAGCAACGCGGACGATGTACTCGTCGCGTTGATTGTCACAAGAAACGAACACCGAAAATATTGTGGGACTCACCGTGAGTGATCGGCTTCAAGGGGTTGAACCTCTGGAGGAACTTGGAGAACGTCGAAACACTCTTGACCATCTGCTCGTCATAGGCCAGCCACTGGTTGATGTCCACGTTTTCCGCCCAGGCTTTGTTCAGAATTTCCTCCAGCAACCTGCCGAGATGTGACGAAGGCACGGGTGGTGACGACAGAACACGGGATATAATAAGTGACAGTGTGGGCGGACGTCATCTCCCCGAACGTACCAGATACACTGACGGCACGCGTGTACTGGGCCCCGAATGCAAGCTGGGACATCACGGTCGGCGAGGAAAAGCTTTATTAACCTTAGTGCCGTCCTCATGTACACGCCAAATTCAACGCAAGGGACTAAAAACAAAAGTAGTAAAATAAAAATACAGAAATACACCGATTTTCGCTAGCACGCGACGGTGACGGATTGCCGAGAGTGAAGGGTACTGAGGATCTTGTCACGTCTTTGTAACGGAGAAACGGGTACCAGACGAAGACCAACCAAAACCAACTAGAAAGGAATACAAACCGCCCGTCTCACCTGATGTGCCACTTGGAGTCGTAGTCCGGGTTTTCTGTGCCGTCGTTGAGGAGCCGCGAGGGTGCGTTGGCGTCGGAGCAGTGGATGAACCGACTGTACAGCAGCTCGAACTTGTCTCGCGGCATGCACTTGCGCACAAGAGGGTAGTTGTCGTGTTCTGATGTACTCCAGTGCTTTCTCATACGGGTTTTCTTCGTGAGTCCCATCGTAATCGTGAGGCCAACCATGCCGTAGATGTTGTCCTCGTTGAACGGGTTACCCTGGTCTGGCTCGGCGGGATCATCCAAGGTAACGTGACCGTGCGTCCTTTTCTTCGATCGCTGGTGCTTACGCCGAGGGTCCACCTCACCCTCTAGCGGTTCCGTCGTGCAATGCTCAACGTAAGCATTCGTCTGGGCGGAGAACAAACGACGAGGGGAATGGGCGAATGGGTGACGTGGTGGATAATTTATTAGGTTCGTTGCGCATTTTGCTACTACAGCAGTACGAGTGGTTCAAGTATGCGCAAACATGCAAGGGATGCGGTCGTGATGCGCTTCCTGTGCGGTCCAGCCTTTCACCTAATTTGTTTCGCCCGAGAGAAAATGATGTCCTGCAGATTGGTGCAACATGACGATTTCGGCGTATCGGCATCGGTAGATATTTCGGCTGGGGTGAGTTGGGAGGTGGGATAGGGGGTCAACAAGTGTGGTATATCCGTACGCCCTGGACCCGAGCGTCTCGTGTGTCATATCGTTGGGAGGAGGGACGTTCAGACAGAGTTGCACCGGGAGAGGAAAAAACGATCTCGAGGTCCAAACACACCGACCAATCGGGTATAATCAGAATGTACGAGCACCTATTTCAAAAAAGTTAACGGGAGGACAATGAAAACCTTCTTCCCAACCTGCAATTTTCAAGTGAAACAAATGCCGTGTGTGTCTTCAACAACAGTCATGCCTACAACACAAACAACGCCAGCGGGGAACAAATCCATGAAGGAGGGAGAGGGAAACATTTTATTTTATTGTTTTGCGTTGTACGAAGTCGACTTTTGTACGACACAGTGGCTGATCCACTTTCGGGTGAGCGGGCCCGGCTCTCGTGCCCGGCGCATTCGGGGTGCAAAATACGGGACACAAAAAACTGCAAAAAAAACAAGACGCACCTTATCAACGAAGAGTTGTACTGCCTCTTTGGGGGAGTTCATATCGAAGCACGTCCCCACCACTTGCTCGATCGCGAAGGCCCCGGAGTTGATGCCGATCGCCTCCATGAACTGGTCCATCGACGGCATCTTCTCCTGCGCGCTCTGGGATAGCGACACCGGGCTAGCAGAGGACCCTGCCGAGGGTTTCTTGTTGCGCCTTTTGTACGCGTCCGTGTTCTCGAAGTCTGGGATCACCGCTCCGACCAATCCCAGGACTCATCGACTTCCTCCTCCTCCTCCTCCACCACCGGTTTCGGCTGCCGCCGTTTCTTCGGCTTTTGGGGGGCTGCACGCGCGCCACCCTTTGCTGCCTTCGCTGCCTCTGCTGCCTCCTTCGCTTTCTCGTCCTCCTCTTCCTTGATCCTGAGGAGCTGCATTGGTCATGTTGCGGGAAACCATCGGCCGGGGGGGTGGGAGCAAAGAAGTAGGCAGGGACGTCATTTGTCATAGGGGTCGTGATTACGCAGACGGAACACGAACGCAAGGCGGGTGCAAAAATAAAAAATAGTAATACTACCCATTTACACCAGTGCAGCGCAGCAGGGAACGGCGCTTCAAGCACTTGCAACATGTGTGAGCGCCCAGAAAACATGAAAGGCTAATACACAGGTGGCCAGGAGAGTCCAGGGCACGGGTGCTGATGAACGCACGACAAAAAAATAATGCAACAATAAAATTACGGAAGAAACCAAACCATTGACGGTCAACCTACAGCGCAGCACACAAGCAACTTGGACACGTAACGTTGACTCGCTAAATAGCGAACAACAGATGTGAGCAAGTCAAACGAGCTTGAGGGACGGTGTGTGCTGCATTCACGAACGAGAAGGGAAGAAGAAAAAGTTGCAAGTGCCAGCACCACCAACGGGTAGCCTCGATTGTATGCAAATGTAGATTTCTAAGGAAGAGACACAGATCGCAGTAGGCGGCATGGAAATTCTGAAGCGAATGCCAAAAGCCCACCTTATCACCCAAAGCCTTCCTCTTGTTGCTAAGAAAAAACGCCCGCTGGTAGTCCACTTCCTTGATCTTCCTCATGTCCGCCGCAAGCTTCTTCTTACTCTTCGTCAAGACCGTCGACGCTCCAGGGATCTTGTGGTGCGTCCAATCCTTTCCTCCTTCACCGATGCTGCCGTCGGAGTCGTATGACGCATGCGGCTCGAGGTTGCCGGTTTTCTGTTTCCCCCGCCTGCACGCGCCTGACTCTTTCTTGATCACTCTGTCCTTCGAGTTGGGAGGCGCGCGCGTCCCGGACCCAGCGGGCTGCTGCTTATCCTTTCCAAAAGCACGCTTTTTTTTCACGGGGCTCCCATCGGTCCCCAACCTCGTTCGCGAAGGTCGGGTCGTTCGTCTGCCATCCTTGTCCAGACACGACTTGTACGTGAGTCTCTCCTTAGCCTTAGGGACACCCCTCTTCTGGCGTTCAGTCGGCCCGAAATCCGGCGAAGGTGCGGTCTCCCTCGGGTCCTCCGGCTGCTGTTGCCCTCCGCGGATTTTATCCTCGAATGCGGATGCCGCGTCCGCTCCTAGTTCCAACCAGTCGAAGTGGTTGTTCCTGTCGTGAGCGTTTTCGTCTACAACGCCGTTGACGCCAGAACGTGCCGCCCATGGATCTCCTACATTGCGGAACAAAAGGTGGATCCAGTAATCTCCGGCCTCGTCCATTTTTAGTGCTTTGTCGAACAAGAAGAGACCCCTGGCGCTGACTGCTGAATAAAGCGTTGCGTTTTGTCCCGACCCCGTAGGCTCCCACACTGCGATGTTTACCTCGTACAGGTCTGCGATGAAAGCCAGCCAGCTAACGTCGAGCCACTCCTTCTCAATTTTTTCCTTGACTCTTGCCTCGAACCAATCGCACCTTAGCTCGCCTTTGGGCTGCCCCTTGATCACTTCGCCAGTAGCACAATTCTTGATTTCAGTCAACCCCACATCGCTGCCCTTCGTCACCCCATCGCCTGAAAGTGTTGCCTCGGGGTCGAATTCTGTCCCGAGCACGTGCCGGAGTAGGCAGGACACCAGGGCTGTCTTGATGGCATCCACATCATGCGGGGTGTTCACTTGCCCTTTACAACCCAGCAGGCCACCACGTATGGAGTGGTACCCGCACGACCCGTCGCCGGCTGCATGCTTGACCCTTGCTATATCCACAGGCAGGAACACTGTGCGGGTTTCGCGGCCGCCGTCGCTGGTTTCCTTCTTCTTTCGCTCGACGCACTCCATGGAGATTGGCTTTGCTGCAAGACGCGCACGCTCGAACGCGGCACGGCCTCGCACGGCAGGCTGTGGTTGAAGCTCGTTGCATGTCAAGGCGCCATCGCACAAAATCCATTCGCTATCTGCCACAGCAGCAGCCATGGTGGACAGACGGAACACTGCAAGCAGTAGCGTGAAAAATTGGGTCCTCATCGGGCCTGTTGCCCGCCTTTTGGTGTTTGCGCGCGAGAGGCAGGTCTGTCCTCGTGTCGTGGGGCTGCTGAACATGTGGAACTCCCGCGTGTGTTTATTTTTTTCGGAGGGACTCTGCTGCATGTGTCCACGCACGGCGCGAGCACGCGCGCACGCGATCTATTCGCGCTGTATAGCCCTTGGTCGGCAGTGCTCAGAACACCAAAACTGTATAGCTAGGAAGAGTAACCTCACTGCTATCCTCACCCCAGCGTGGGGTTAGTCACATAAGGGTTAAGTGTCGAAGGCAAGCACTGCAGGAGGAGGGGTGTGGCATGAAAAAGTTCCCCTGCTCTCTTCCTCCTGCGTAGCCCCGGCCAACACGTCAAGTATATACCGGCGAAGTAGATTGGCGCCAGAATAGATTGGACGATAACAACACGCACGCAGGAGTATTTTGCTCTCGTTTGTGCTTTGAGAAACATCTCTCTTTGACCTGCCCTGGCTCGCTCCTTCACTCTTCCCTTTTCCGCTCTCGTGTTCGCTTTCTCGCTGGCTTACAACCGGCTGTCGTTATCGGTCGGGCTACAGGTCCTTCATGTTCCATGAAAACATCCAAGACGATGCGGAGCTGTTGGTAAACGAGACTCTACTCCCAGAATTGCCCGATGGCGGCTACGTGGAGGTTTGGACGTACAACAAGCCGGCCGGGGACCCACCCCGCGAACGCCGCGTGGTGCTGCAGGTGATGCGTCATGCTATATACACGAAGAGCGGTTGTCGAAAGAAAACGATCCGCGTCTTGAAGATTGAGGCTGGATTCATGTGTTGCTCTACAAGGTGTTCGGTGTTTGTGTAGACAACAGAAGGTACGGAGGAGGTGTGGGGCTTAACTAGCACACAGGCGTGAACGCTGCACCTATTGTACACCCACGAGGGCTCGGGGAGGGCGCTGATGAGGAACATGAGCGAGCTTGAAGTTTGACCAACTTGGCGCTATTGTAAGTGTCTCTCTGTTTGCACGCTGGGGGCACGGGCACGACGATCAACTGCAGCCTTCCTCTCTTCCCGGCAGAAGTGTGACGGCGTGATGCCCGTCTTGCGTGACGAGCCGTAACGAACAGGCATAGGCGTAACGAACAGGCATCCGGGATTCTCATGTGTCCGTCATCGAGGCGACTGTCTTCCCGTTGCTGAGCCACACACTGCCACACCAGGCTCTTCATCGCTTTCGTGCGATTGGAGAATCTCACGCTCTCGACCCCCTCTTTTCCGACTGAAATGTCTCGGACAAACTCGTGTGCACTCGCTTGAAACAGGTGAAGCTGAGCAAAGGGTTCACGGGCTCTTCTTACTTCAGCATCAGAAACTCGACAAGGGAAGCGTTCGACCTAGGGGATGTGAGACCTAGTACGCATGTTGCCGGAACATTCGCTGCCGAGTGATTTTTCGGTATTTATTTTATGTAGTGTGGCAAACGCCATCGCGTTGCTGTCCCTTATCCCTGCGCAGAACTGCACCCTTAAGTTTGTTGCGTTTGTTCCCTCCTGTCCCGCTATTTCGATTTTTTTCTTTTCCTGCTGTCTCTTCTTGTTTGCTACAAAATTCGTCCATTTTCGCGTCTCTGTCTGGATGAAGCTCCAGCCAATTGCTTCGCGCAAGGCTTGGTCTCGCCTCTCGTCATGCTCCGCGCTCCATAAACTTTTCCGCAGGTGTTATGCATGTACACGCAAGGGTTTTATTACTAAGGCCGCATCCCCCGCCGTTGGTACAAGCATTGATCGGCCTTTCTTCAAAGAACGCATGCTCTTCCTCCCCATGGTTATCCGTTGCGCACCCATGCCGTAGGCTCACACCGGAAGAAACCTGTCATGTTCTCCTACATCAAATTTATTAAACAGGCGTTCGACAGCGGCCCTTTTCCCTCGCTTACACTGCTGCCCCCCCCCCCCCCATTTGAATCATGGAATCCAACAAATATTTGTGTGAAGGAGAGAGCTAGTTTTGATTAATTGTGGCGGAGTCAAACACTAAACAATCCCAGCTCCAGAAAAATATGGTACATTGGGATCAGAAAGCCATGAA